TGATGTTGTAAAGCTAGCATTGCTACATCTGTTGGGCAATGTTATGTTTGGGCACCAGTCATGTGTTAGTTTTCCTATTGGATACATTAACCTAGTAGATGATTTGGATGCATTCGATAAATTCCCATGGGGTGAAGTCATATGGGAAGAGTTGTTAACACATGCTGGGAGATGTGCACAATCCCTTAAAGCTCGTGGAGGGGGAAGAGTGACATTTGGAGGGTTTGTCTTTGCCTTACAGGTATGGGCATTTGAGAAATTTCCTTCCTTGAGAGAGTCGGGGCATTGTCAAATTGTGAAAGGAAGAGAAGATTGGATTCCACGTTGCCTAAGGTGGGAGATTTATGCAAAGATTTCAGCACAGTTTCTTCATGAAGCCATATTTGAAAATCCAGAGGTTCGTATGCTATGAAATTCTCTTTTAATGAGAATATGTAGTAAATCTGGATTATATTAATATATTTTTTTATTGTTTTACACAGTTTGAAGTGTCAAAGATTGTTCCAAGTGAGAGGGAGTTAAATGATCCTTCATTGGCATTATTTGCTAATGAATACATAAGAAGGGGGATAGATGACACTGTGCAACATATTGAGAGCTCAGAAAAGGCTGCAACTGTAGCAAGAAATCTGAGTGTTGGTAGTGCTAAGAAAAGGAAACTTTCAACAACTGGAAATGCCCAAAACAAGCCAAAAGAGAAGAGAAAGAGAACTATTCACAGCATGAAAGGGGAATTTCTTCCAAAAATAAAATAAAAGAGGAAGAAGGAGAGTCAGAGTCAGATTATAACAATTCTCAATGACATGAAAAAAATGCAGGAAAGCCAAGGGAAAGTGCTGAAGATGATCCTTGAGCAGTTAGAAAGAAAAAAGGGAGATGATACAGAGGAGAGGGGTTTTAAAAAGATAGATGATGAAATTGTCAATGAGAATGTTGAGAGTGAAGACATGGAAAATAAAAACATGGGGAAGGATACTATTTTGGAAGAAGATGGCACTAACCATGGAGATGTGGGAAAGGATGGCACTTCCAGACATGATGACAATGATCAGTTGTCTGAAACACAGTTCAGTGATCAGTTCTTTGAACAAATGGACAAAGAAGTGAATGCTATTTTGAAAGGCACAATTGAAGGAAATGTAAGACCATTTACTCTTGTATTAAATAAGATAGTATATTGTGAATATGTGAAACTGTGTTATCATTATTATTGCCACGCAGATCTTTGAGAAGGAAGGTGGATCTGATATGGAGCCCGCAGCTAATGCGAATTTCGAGAAAGTGCAGTTGGATTCTATAATTGATGAACAAGGAATCACTGTAAGTAAACATTCTTAAAAGAAAATATTGACTAAGTGGTATAAAGGATTCTGATGATGTGAAAGTGTTAACTCATTAAGAGTATTGTGTTAGATGGCACTGTCTGTGACAAAGTATACTGTGTTAGATGGCACTGTGCAGTGTGACAGAGTATATAATTGTCTTTGTATCAAGTCAGATTTGGCTGTAAACAGTGTAACTGTTTATATTGTTTTGCAGTTGCCTGA